TTATCAGGTTTTGGGGAAGGAACGTAAACGCTCTAGAAATGGAGAGCAAGATGCAGCATCAGAGGAGGAGGAGGAGGAAGAAATACAAGACACACCTCGAACACAGAGAAAAAGGTCTAGTGTTATTCCATAATCATTGTTTATGAATTTTCCAAGACGCTACTGTTAAAAAGTTTGGAGACTGCTGATTTTTTTTAAATGCTCTTGAAACAAGTCACATGACTAGAAACACAGTAAAAACAATAATATTCTGAGATCTTATTACAATTTTAAATAAAAATTATGTTTTTAAATGTCTTTAAATGCAATTTTTTCCTGTGATGGAAAAGCGGAATTTTCTGAGTGAGTTTTCTCCTCTTTGTCCTGTAGGAGGCGCCATTCTGAGCGCAGAGCATCTCAGGGCAGCGAGCCATATGACCCTTATGACTTTAATACTGAGACTGATGTACCACAAAGTAAGCTAAACCAACAACAAACATTCTATATACAAGTTATATTGAATGGGTTAAATTTGTTCTTAATGATTTTTAAAGTAAATACAACATCATTATTGAAAAATTATGATTTTTTACACATATGTATTATAATAGAAACTATATTGATACAGTTGATTGATGCATCTAAATTCATTCTAAATCACTTTGAAAAATCATTGTTTTTCGAAAAAAAACTTTTTAAGTAATTTGAATAAATATAAATAATTAATTAAAAATATAATAAATTACATTGTATTTTAATTGAATTAGAGGATCACTTTTCGTCATAATGCACATAAAATGCACATTCAATTTTTTTGTTCTCAGTTCAGTCCCCTGCTCCTGCGAGGCAGGATGAGGAGCCAATAGACGCTCCTGATCAGAACGGTCACACAGAGTTGTCTAATGGCAGGTAAGCGTTCAGGGTTCGTCTGCTGAGATTTTCGGTATCTCTACACTCAGCATTTTTAAAGGGTCGTCACATTCTTTTGAAGTACTGTTTCTGATTCAGTTCTAAACAGAAACTGCATCGCTTGCAGGATGGCTGATTGTTTCGGATGCTGCATGTCTGACGCACCGTGTGTGTTTTTGCTTTAGGTTGAAGGAGTTCAAAACCGCATTGCTGGAGGTGTTCCGCTCTTCTCATGCTCAGTCAGTTGGCATGATCGCTCTGATGGAAGGCATCAACAAGAGCTGCCCATCACCCTTTAAAGAAACTGAGGTCCGTGCTGCCCTCAGCCGCATGCAGGACGACAACCAGGTTATGGTTGCCGACGACATCATCTTCCTTATATAAATGTGTTTTTTGGAGAAAAAGAGAAACGAAAAAGTGTAGATCTATTTCAGAAGATTTGCAATATGTGTGCAATGTTTATTTCCATACTTTTGTACATGCAAACACATGCATGTATTTCTTAACATTTTCATTCACTCAAGACATTTTCATTAGATTTTTCTTACTGTAATTTTTTTTCACATGCTTGTTACATGCATACGTTTGATTCTTGCCAAGACATTTTTAGTTGTTTGTTTTTCTCTCTATAACATTCGTTTGTTTATTAGCATTCTTAGACTTGGTTAATATTCTTCAGAAATTTGCCTTTTCTTATGGTTTTATATTTTTCTTAAGAACAGCTTGGACCAGTGTCTGCAGATTATTTTATTTTATTCGTTTTACAACTTGTAAATACTGATTTATTGTTTAAAAAATGTTAAACAACTGAGAATGTAAAAACAAAAAAAACAACTGGTGTCAGAATAATGCTCAGTAATATACTTCAGAATACAGTTCAGTTAGAGTTGTGGCCTAGTACTCCACACACATTGAGCTGTGGTGCTCAAGCAGGAGATAAAGGTTTCAATCTCCCCCCTCTCAATATTTTTTCTGTGTCCTGTCTATTCTGCCTCTGTCAATAAAATGTGACCAAAAGATTTTCTCATTGACTTAATTGTATTTTTCTACACTATAGGTAATATACAAAAAGACTAATGATCAAAATCTAGCTTTACATAAATCTCTGCTCTTTTGCATAACACCAAAAAGCCACATAACCTCAAACTAGTCATGCATTAGACATTCCCAGTCATTACAGTTACTGTTTGCCCTCATTGCCCTTTCAGTCTAGTGTGGGTAGAGTCTGTCTGTATTATTATGACTGGATTGTCTCGTAGATGTAGAGCAAATGATGATTTAAATGCAAAGTACAGCTCCTCATTTATAAACTTTTCTGCTCGAGCTGCTTCAAGATGCATCTTTTTACTGTCCCGCTTCCCGGTTCTTTAAAACTGGTGACTGTAACCTTTATGTTTGTGTGGGAGCTGGAGAAACCGTAAGTGGGCAATACCTAAAATCCTGTGATCATTCACTTTGTCGTTCCAAAGCCATATTTCTTTTGTGGAGAACAAAAATATATGTTGGCGTGCTGCCTGAGGCTACTGTATGGAAGCCCGTTTCCGCCACTGAATAAAAAATAAAAAGGGTAATTGCGATTTTTTATCTCACAATTCTGACTTTTTTTCTCATAATTGCGTGATATAAACTCACAATTGCGAGTTAAAAAGTCAGAACTGCGAGATATAAACTCACAATTCTGATTTTTTTTCTCAGAATTGCATGATATAAACACAATTGCGATTTATAAAGTCATAATTGCGAGATTTTATCTCGCATGTTATCATGTTCAATTTCTCACAAAATTGCATTGTGAGACTTTTTCTCACAATTCTGACTTTTTTCTCAGAATTGCAAGTTTATATCTCGCAGTTCTGATATAAACTCGCAATTCTGAGAAGATATCAGTCTCTCCTCCCCCTCAAAATGGAACTTTACTCGCAATTGCGAGTTTATATCACGCAATTCTGAATTTATAACTCGCAGTTCTGACCTTATAACTAGCAATTGTGAAAAAAAAAGTAAGAATTGTGAGATAAAAAGTCGCAATAACCTTTTTTTTAATTCAGTGGCGGAAATGGGCTTCGAAGGGGGTCTGAATACTTTCCGTACCCACTGTATATAACAAACAAACTGACTCCTATTATACAGTATAGGGACAAAAAGACAGGAGACAGGTTTCAGGTTTGAAATGACATGCGGGTAAGTAAATGGCAGAATTTACATTTTTGCAACTTTTTGCAACTGGTTCTTATGCCGTTAAACATTAACCATACCATACCATACCATGTTTTTCCTCATCTGCTTGTGATGTTCTAAGAATGACTAGGAGATGTTATCATATGCTCGTGCTTGTGCTAGTGTTGGCTGCTTGGAACGTACTGTTTCAAGAACCAAGTCAGCACTTCAGTGACCTAAATTGAAATTAGTGGGGGAGTATAAGAACATTGTGTAGGGCTACAAGTGTCAGTTGGTGTATCTGGGGCAAATTTAACACTGATTCACCAACTGTAACCCTTTCATGAGTGTTCTTGATGAGCACTAATGCTTTAGAGTTACCGCTTTAGTGCTGTGTTAACATAAATATAGCAGTTCACAAGAAGTTACAATAATTTTACAGCATTATTAATAATATTAATGTTACTTCCTGTTGATTTCAACAGAAAATAACATTATTAGAATGATAAATAATTATTTATATTTATCTATTTTAATCTATATTTTAAAATAGCCTACAATTTATTCCTGTAATAGTAAAGCTCAATTTTCAGCAGCCAATCCAGTCTTCAGTGTCACATGATCCTTCAGAAATCATTCTAAGCTGATTTGCTGCTCAAGAAACATTTCTGTTTATCAGTGTTTAAAATAGTTACTAAATATTTGTGTAATAGTAAATTCATATTATATATATA